CGTGGCAGATGCATACACTTCCACACCCATCTGCTTTCTCTTCTGCCTTCTGTCCATCTGACCTTTGTTCCTTCCTCTTCCTCTGCTTGTCCTCCCACACTTATCACACTCTGCCCTTTGTTTTTTTCTGTCCTCTCTTATTATCATAGTTCTACACTGACACTGCCCCTTATTTCTGCAGTGACCTTGAGTAGAGGCTGAAAACCACTAATATCATGCTGCCTTTCCTCAAAGGGATAGTTTACCCAAAATGACAATTTTGTCATTATTTACTTACTCTCATATGAGTTTTTTTTCTGTGGAACAGAAGAAAGTTCAAGTTGTGAACACAATGTTTGTTTGTTTTTTACCCTAGACCGGTGGTTCTCAACCTTTTGAACTCTAAACCCCACAGTTGTCCAAAAAAATATTTCAAGAGCCTACACTCCTAGTACAAGCATACAAATGCACCCACCAGACAACGCATGCACAAGGAGGTAGAGAGAGACCCCTCCCCCTACCCCTGTCGCCTCCCTCTCCTCTAACAATGTCTGTAAACAAAGCGGAACCTATGAATGAAGGAGGAGAGTGAGCGAGGGAATCGAAAAAGAGGGAAACGCAGCCACGCATCTCTCATAAGAAACACAGTCAGGGATGAGAGAACTGAGAAGAGAAAGACATGGACAAGAAGGGGAAGAGAGAGCTAAATCGGAGAGGAAAAAAAAAAGAACTCACATCATCTCTGTCAAAGCCTCTTTCGTTGGATGTCGATGTTGGTCCTCGCTGCCCTCCCCCTCCGTCTCCCTCTGCCTCCTTCGCTCTCTACGGCATTGCTGGATCCACAATCTACTGCCTTATTCTACCTCTTTCTACAACTCTTGCACTCTTTCTGTCTTCCAGCATGGTAGACTACACCACACCGCTGTTCATTCAGAGCATGTGTGTGATGAAGAGAGTGAGAAAGAGAGGAGGGGAGAAAGAGCAAGAGCGAGCAAAAGAGAGGGAGAATCAGCAGGAAGAGAGGGGGTAAGGAAGTGTGGATATAGTGGCAGAAGGCATATGTGTGCCTGTACAGTACAGTATGTATTTGTACACGTGTTCCCATATCTGTATCGATGCCAGAAAACTTGCTGGCACGTTTTCAGTGTAAGACTGCGCAGCCGTGTTCGTGAGGACTCGTTCGGTGAACTTTTAGCTGAAATTGTACTGTACGTCCTTGACCCTATTACGCAGATCACTGGCCTATAAAGAGATCACGTGCGCTCGGAAGGGAAAAAGAGAGTGCTGCAGGGTGCTCAGGGACAGGGACGCTGGAATTGTGACACAGTTGAGCTTGCACAGACCGAAGGAAGACAAGGAACAGAGAAGGATGATGCAGAGAGAAGAAGTTGCTATATTAAAAATGACTCTGAGAGGGAAGGACAATGATGGAGGTGGTGAAGCGATGCCAGAAAGGACATAGTGATGTGTGGTGTTCTGGAAAAGTGGGGCTGAGATGAGAACAGAAGAGCCGAGAGGTTGGAGAAAGAATAGAGACATCCATCTATCTATCTATAGTGTGAATTGGACAAGAAAATGCAAAATGCATGATGAAAAAAAAAGTTCACTACTACGCTAACATGCTTCAAACTTGTACAAAGCCTTAGGTGCCAAAAAGTTCTTTTTTTTTTCTTTGGTCATGTTAATAGTTGCAAGATGCTTCTGTATCCATTTATTCATCCGTGCATTCATCCCTCTCTTTCACTCTCTCTCTTTCCTTTCCTCTCCTCTTTAGTGCCCTTCATAATCTGACCTCCAGATGGAGTCACCACGGGGGTGGGAGGGTGATGGAGAGAATATGAAAGAGTGTAGGGGGTGAGTAAAATGGGAGGAATTAAAAGAGAGAGAGAGAGAGCACTAGGGAGAGTTAGAGCGGAACGAGGGGATGACGAAGCCAAAAAACAGAGGGGTGAAATAAATAATTTAAAACTGAAAACATAGTAAAAAGAATCACTTTATGTGTTTGTTAGTGTATTTCTACATGTGCATGAATGGGAGCAAGCGAGTGTGACTAGCGAGATTCAGACTATAAATGAAAAATATGATTTATAATGTGTATATTTGTATGTAAATAATTTGCTTGTATTGTGTTGTCTTGCAGGCTGCTGGGATTAGATGAGCGTGAGCTCTCTCCGTGACTGGGACAGAATGACATCACATGAAGCAGCTTTATGTTTACTGTGAGGTGCTAATGAAAAGAGCACAGCAGTGTTAATTTACCAGCACACGACTCACAGACATTTAGACAGACTGAGAGAGAGAGCGAGATTACAACATGGCCACCAAAAACAGATATTACAGTCTTGTGAAAAGTGCTTCATTTCATGGGGCTGTCACTTAAATTCAAAGGGGCTGGGACATTATTTTAAGTCCCACCCTTCTGCCTAAGGCCCAGTTGAGTAGGCTACACCATAGAGGACCTCAATAGCTCCCCACGTTTCCCCAAGCCCCTGACAACGGCCCTGGGTTGATGATACATTTTATGTGAACCATCCTACAAAAGTAGATTACTGATGATTTAGGGGCCATTCACACAGAATGTGTTTTTGCATTTAAAAATGTGAGATGCAGGGCAGTGGAATGAAAAATAAAGGTCTAGAGATATGGTTCTTAAAAGCTGAACTTATTTTAACATGCGCTGTATTGTTAGATGCGACAAAAGACGCGAGTGCTGTGGTCAAACACATTCACCTAGTGCATGTTCACAAGAGAAAAACATTCCAATATGGAAAAGCAGCTTACTGAAATGCAAAAAAGGGGGTTATAATTTTAAATGAATGGCACCTTATCCTATCAAAATATTTAATATTTATAATTAATTAATAAATAAAAAATACAATAAAAATCCTCTTCTCTACAATCATTTGTTAACTTATTTTCCAGTCTTAGAATAAATCTTAGATATATTAAGAAAAATATTAAGTGTTTATTGGAAAACAACTAAAACAAACAAACAAAAAAGACTGAAAGACTTAATAAAAAGTATAAAATTCATTATGAAATGGATCTTAAAGGGACAGTGACATAAAATGAAATAAACCTTCTGTTATGGAACATAAAAGAAGATATTTAGATTTTTTTTTTTGTCCATACAATGAAAGTGAAAAGCCACCAAAACCGGTTACCAAAATATCTTCTCTATTTTCTTTTCCGCAGAAGAATGAAAGTCATATAGTTTGTAACAAAATAATAGTAAATTATGACAGAATTTTCATTTTTGGTTGAACTGTCCCTTTAAGTGAATTACTGTACAGTACATCTATTACAGGAACAGTTCCCTGGAGCAACCTGGTAGGACAGGGTGGTATATTGAGTTTGTACAATATATAGATATATTTTTTTATAAACGATATGGTACGAGGCAATACCATTTATATCGATATACTTACAATTTTAATAAGAACCCATCTGAAAAATAGCAGAGGACACAGAGTGAGCTGCTCTGGGGAAAGTGTATGATCCAGTTCACAGGTATATTCTCCATGGAAATATCTCCATTTTGCTGTCAGGAGTGCATGAGCCTTCTATATGTGATTATCCGCTAAACTTCACAAGACTTCAGTATGCAAACACCGCCACGTATATGCTCCAAACAGTCCGAGCACAATAATTCTGACTAAAAATATACATTTTGCTAAAATATTTGTAGTTGGACAATAAATGTGCCATGTGTAGAATTTGAAACCTACAAGCAAGTGTATTTTATGATAGCAGTAACTATAAAGTGACTATTATAATGGGGTAATCAAAATATACTGCAATTAATATGTGATTTTGTTTTTATTTCTTTTCATTTTTAGTTTAGTGAATTTAACTTCTGCTTTAAAAATAATAATTTTTGTTTTTAGATGTTTTAGATCTTAATAATGTTAGAATGTAATGTGATTTTAGCTCCTTTTTTGCATAATATATAGCATATAGCCTACATGGTTATAATTTTAAAATATAAAATACTGTATATAATGTATATACAGTACGACTAAATATAAAGTACTTTAGTTCAATTCAATATCACATTCTTCAGTGTCAGTCTCAGCTATTTAATTCTGCAATTAATTTAACATAACAGTCTCCCATCTGACTTCCAAAACCAGCTTCACAGGCCACAAATATTGAGATGCATAAATCACACGCTGGTATCTCCATCTCCATGCCCATCAGTCTGTCACTCACACTCACAGCAGTGCAAGAAAAGGTGCCAAGGCCTCCTCAGGTGAGTCACTGCAGCAGCATTTCAGAAGAACCAACAGAAAACTCTCCACGTGCTGAACGAAACTCAGTCTAACCCATGAGACGGTGAGCGTGATTTCACCAAGCACAACATGTTCCATGGATCAACATCCTTGTTGATCCTGGAACAAGATTCCAATCAATCAATCAGAATTGAGATATAACTTTCCAGGAAATATCTGTTTTAGGCTTACAATCAGGGTTAGGTGCTTCTACACTCTTGTTAATCAGCTATCATTTCCCACTGGTTTTAGGAATAAATTATGGGTAGGGTTAGGTTTAGGGGTAGGGATTGGGTTAAGTCTATATTTTTGGACAATAATGTTGATCCAGGATCATCAAAAGATGTTGATCCAGGAACATGTCTGTCTTGGCAAAATCACGGCGACCCCCACGAGACATGCGAGTAGATGATAAAGAACGCAAACCTCTTGACAGTTTCTGACAGTTGTGTGAAAATAATCTGTATGGGAAGAATCTGTATCTTGAAAAGACCAGCATTTTAGACGTATCTTAACTACCTTAACCAGCAAGATTTCCTTTGACCACAATTTTTGCTGTCAAATATTTTTGCTTTAATTTTTGTCTTTCGTGCTTTAATGAGTATTTTACACTGGTCCACTAGTTAAATCAGCACCAAACCAGCATATACAAACTCTAAACTGGTTTTCTTAGCAGAAAGTCCTTCATTACAACATATCAGCATCAACATATCAGCAATGCACATCCATAAATTCTAAAAGTGTTCTTACCTGGGCGCGTCAAAGCTGTCATAGGATCCAACAGTATAATGTCGGAAGAGTCGCTTGGCTCTCTCACTGCGGCTCTCTGAAAGACGCACACACAACCGCATCCACATCATCATGAGGTTGGGTGTGTGAGGGTGCAACTACAGCATGACAAGAAAATACACGCCTGACTTGAAGTTTCCCACTCTGACAGAGCGTGATGGCCCAAACCACAGTGACTTTAGCCAGCGTGAAATGGCACTATCGGTCTCTCTCACACTCCAGTAGTGCTGTAAACTATTAATAGTCATCATAGCTGCTCTCCCTCACCAAGTCTGACATCACAACATCACAGAGATGCTGTGGCAGTCCGACTGTCCTACACCTCCATCTGGGACTATCAAAATGACAGCTCCGAGTGTAGTGTGGATGTCTTTGATACTAATAACGTGTGTGTAATGTATGTGTGCGTGTGTGTGAGGAATCTCACCTGAACGAGGCTCCAGGCTGCGGAGAGCCACCTCCTCCACGCAATCAGAGGGGAACCAGCCCGTGCGCCCTCGAACCGTCCCCTCCCAGTATCCTCCTTCACCCACACTCAACACTAAGAGAATCAAGAGAGAGAAACAACAGTGTGTGTGTGTGTGTGAGTAGTAAACATATGAAGAGTGTACAGCAACAAAAACACACTATATAGACCAGAAGCGTCATGACCAGACACATTTTTGAGCCAAGTGGATTTTGAACTACCATCTTTCATATTTAGTTTCCACGATTATGGAAGGTAAAAAATTGTTTGTTTAAAATGCTGTGGCAGAAATCAGTCATTATGTCTGCATTTGTTGTGTCCAATCGAGTTCTTTGAGACCTTCCACTGATTACTTACTTGAAATTGTATGACTTGACATTTTTCAGTTATCATAAAGTTTTTTTTTTCATACATGGTTGTAAACAGGGTTCACATCCTTTTTGATTAATTAATTGTAGAGGTGTGCGATATCGTAGTATTGTGCTACAGCACACATTCTATCAGTTGCAGTTCTGGCGCATCCGTCTTAAACGCTGTGCAATGCAACATAGATTCACATCAAACGTTAACTCAGCGGTAGTGTTACACTCACGGGACACTGCACTTTGCAGTCACAAAAGTATATTATTTGCATGTGCATTAAAGCCTTGCCGGTTAAACATTTCATTTGCGTGCTGTTCTGACAGGAACATTTATGGCAAGAAGTTACACCTGAAGTGTGCGCACACTAAAAACCTGATAACTGGACTAAGTTATTTTTCTCGTCTGATTGAGCTAATACTGTCAAAAACACACAAGGTTTACATATAATCACAGTTGGTTATGTCTAAAGTGAAAGTAAACAGTTGAGAGAAAAAATGGTTGCGTGCCTGTATATTAGATGTGTGCGTGACTAATAGTAGTCATTATTTACTCACTCTCATGTTGTCCCAAACCTGTATTATTTTCTGTCTTGAACTGAACACAAAATAAGACATTTTGAAGAATGTGGGTAACCAAACAATAGCTGGTCCCCACTGACTTTGATAGTAAAAAAAAAAATACTGTGGAAGTCACTGGGGACCAACAACTATTTGGTTTTCCACATTTTTCAAAATAACTTTTATGTTCAACAGAAGAAAGAAACTCATTCAGGTTTAAAACAACTTGAGAGTGAGAAAATAATGACAGAATTTTAATTTTTGGGTGAACTATCCCTTTAATGTTAATAAAGCAACAAAACACAATATAATGTATATCTTTGTTCATATTTTTTAATGACAAAGACAAAATAATGACAAAGATTTTTATTTTTGCCCAATTTGTCCAAAATATCTGGCATTATTTTTTATTGTATATTTTGTTACCTTGTAAGGCTTTGTTTTGTTTTTTTAAATAAGGAAATATATATAAATATAAAACATAAAATAAGGAAAAGTTTGGCTATACTGCTCAGACAACTTGCAAAATAGTAACACCAACATGACAAAGAATCGTGAATCGTGATTTTCCTGAAAAAAAATAGTGACATGAAATTTTTGCCATATCGCCCACCCCTAATTAATTCCCATGACTTTTGTATGATTGTTCCATGTACAGACTGCTGGGAAGAATGTCAGACACAGTTCTTGAAATTAACAGATTTAAAACATTACAATACTGTTAGAAAACACTCTCTGTCTGTATTGGTTCCAGATGTTTTCCCCCTCCTTTTTTTCCCTCTCTCTCTCTCTGCTCGCCCTCCCTGTACAGCGCACTGTTGTCTCCTTCTGATTTCCCCCTCCTCCATCTGATCTCTCTCTCTCTTGTATTATGTTTTAATATCTCTTACTCATATTCGAGGTACGCATGCGCACATGTATGCATTAGCTTTTCTTGGTTCAAATGTTCAAACGAGGACACGATAGCTAGGACTCCAAGGTAATGGGTTTCGCGATGAACTATGGAGATAGTTCAGCATCCTTCGCCAAGTTTATTCCTAATATGTCCATATTTTCCTGTACATGTGGCCATTTTGTATAACACATATTCTTGGCCAACATCCTATATGTATGTCATCTATATCCTCATTGGTTAAAGGGTTGAAACTCCCCTCGACATATGCCTATATAAGATCTTTGTATCTATGAATAAAGTTGAAGTATTGAGAATTCAATTTGATGTGTGTTTTCTTGCTTCCCGGCCGTTATACACTTTGAGGGACTGAGAATTTTCCAGGTGGCAAAGAGAATCTATAGGGACCGATTGTTAATTACTGACAAATACATATTTGTGTACAAATCTGTAAATCTAAAATATGGTCTCAGATTTGAATTGAGCTCAATGGTGGACCTGGCTTTCTAAACCAGAGACATTTTTATTGATACATTTACATTCATACCTATACACTATCGTTCAAAAGTTTGGGGTCAGTAAAATGTTTTTGAAATAAGTATTGCATGCTAACCAAGGCTGCATTTATTGCATCAAAAATACAGTAAAAAATGTAAATTGCTTTGCTTTGATGAATAGAAAGTTAGAACAGCATTTATTTGAAATAGAAATTATTTCCAACACTATATGTCTTAACTGTTGCTTTTAAACAATTTGATCAATGTGTCTTTGCTGAATTAAAGCATTAATATCTTTTTTTAAAATTACTGACCCCATGCTTTTGAACTGTAGTGTATTTATATTCATATAGAATTTTTCCACAACTTTCAACATTTTACTATATTTCTCAGGCCTGGAAATAACAGTTTCAAAATTCCTTAATATTTCCATGACCATGGGACCCATGTATAACCTAAATTGTAAGAAAATATATATATATTTTTATAATATATTTAATCTAGAAATGGATGTGGGCCCCCTGCACACTTAAATAATTAACCATCAAAACTGTTTTTCTTTTTCTTTGGTATCATCTTATACCCCTTAGGGCACCAAAAGAGCTAGGACCGCCCCTGGTACCCCTTAAAAAACATAGGTGCATGACGCCGCTGATACACACTCACAGCACCATCTCAGGTACACACAAACAAATTTAATCACAAATCGCATGCGAAATCACTATCACTTATGAGTTTACAAATACATGATGAAACATGCATATAAGCAAGCTATGGTGACAGATCTAAACATGGACTCTAGAATTAAACACACACATACACACACTCGCATGCACGTTGACATTGCTCGCAAACAGACATATACTGACATACCAACACATATCACCAGAATACATACACAGACAACGTTTATCCACACCTGTGAAAAACATACAGAAACAAACACACATTTAATGGTATTCTTGCTGACATATATACACTCACTCTCACACAACACACATCATTGTTCCTGTCCACACAGAGACACACACACACACATCCATTCACCTTTGACTTTTTCTCCCTTGTTGAAGCTGATCTCGCGGTCCCCCTGGGCGGAGTGCGAGCGGGTGGCCACAAACACACGGCCAGGCACGGCACTGTAGAGACGCCGTCGCTGCCCACTTGCTGTGCCCTGACTACTGATAGAGCCCGCCCTGTACAAAGGCACACGAATCAGACAACAGGGTTAACATTCATTCATTTATGCACATTTATTACCGGCTCTACTCATTCAGGTATCCGTCTTCACAGGATGTGAATATTGATGATTATTTAGTTATATCGCTCAATGACAAGTTATAACCTTGTCCTTTCTACTCTCTTTCTCACCCTTGTCTTCCTCGTGTTTGCCGGCTCCGATCGTCTCGGTCGCCTGTTCGACCACGAGACGGGGAACGGGTTCGTGCTCCACGGGGACTGCTGGAGCTACGCAAGGTGCCACCATGCTTTAGACCCTGACAGATAAACATAAACACGACGAGTAACAATTAAAGTTTGAACATAAATATGAAGAGTGTCAAACAGAAGGGTCAAGATTAGCATGGCCCAGTTAGCCCCTTAACTCCCATGCTAATGGATAGCTTTTATGAATTCAAATTTTAAACGTATAATTTTCACATTTTACATATTTTTGCACATAATTATTATTTATTTAAAAATTATTTAAACAATATTACCATTAAAAAGTCTGGGGTCAGTAAATTTTTTAATTGTTTTTCAAAGAAAAGATGCTCACCAATGCTGCATTCATTTGATACAGTAAAAACAGTAATTACTGTGAAATATTATTACAATTTAAAAGAACTGTTTTCTATTTTAACACATTTTTCAAATGTAATTTATTCCTGTGATGGAAAAAGCTGAATATTCATCAGCTACTGATCATTCACAAACTGATTTGCTGCTCAAGAAATATTTCTTATTATTATCAATGTTGAGAACAGTTGTGCTGCTTAATATTTTTGTGGAATATTTTCACTTTCACTTTGAGCAACTTAATGCATCCTTGCTAAATTTACAAGTATTCATTTTATTTAATAAAAAACACCTTACAGACCCCAAATATTTGAATGGTAGCATTTACTCACATATAAATAAAATTTAAGGGAAAAAACTAAACAAAAAATGAATTTACCTGCACGGAGACAAGGCTTGATCCAGCAGCGTTGGGAAAAGCGATCCAGTCTGGCACATTCATGCTGTTGTCACTGTTGGCCCGCAAGAAGGGATGAGGATGGGGCAATCCAAGAGTACGAGAACTCTCCCTCCTCTGGGGGGCATACTTTGGAGACTCCAAAAAGGGAACTGACATCAAATCAGGAGAGAAACAGTAATACAGAGAGAGAACAGATGCTAAGAGAGACAGAAGTACGCTCTAATTGCCTAATAATGTCCTGCAAAATTCACTTCACAGGGTATTTGACCATCTTAAGTGTGCAGTCAAACACGTGGTCTGTATTCAATGATGTTGCAAAGCATTACAAATGAAGTGAACTGCAACAGATCCCCTGTGGAGTGTGTAGGGAGCAGTTGCTTAGGGACTGTGTGAATCGCAAGGCAGCTAAAGAGAGACGAAAGTATCAAGCTCCAAATGTCACACAGTTTGAAGAGCAAATCAATTATCTCACACAGAATAAAAATACTGGCACAACCAAAATAAATCTCCGCTCCTTACCTACGTCTGATTCACGATGGTTTTTAATGATTTCTCCCAGCTCAAAATGGCCAGACATCACAGCCACCTAGAAAAGAAGTTCACACACGCTTAATATTTGTATCTGTGAATGACACACAGTGATGCAAGGCTTGGGAATATCGCAATATTAAACACACGCAGGCATTAACTTCCTTTCATATTAAAGGGGTCATATGATGCGATTTCAAGTTTTCCTTTCTCTTTGGAGTGTTACAAGCTGATTGTGCATAGATAAGATCCCTGAAGTTGCAAAGACTAAAGTCTCAAAACCAAAGAGATATTCTTTATCAAAGTTAGGACTCTGCCACGCCCCCACATATCTACCTCACTATGTGGAAATATTTGCATAATGCCGCCCAAATGTTCACGCAAAGAAAGAAGGTGTGTGTGTGCGTGCGCGCGCGAGCGAGAGAGAAAGAGAGAGAGAGAGAGAGAGAGAGAGAGAGAG